GAAGTGGCAGACAAAAAATGACATGGCAGTAAAAGATGATATGACAGTGTGCTAAGAGTGCTACCACTCTTATAGCCTTAGAGGTAGGGGTGTCAATTTATGATGCGACACAACAAAAATATACACACGACACGACAAAAATACACGATACGAAACGAAATCGGGACGAAATCAAAATTCGAATTCGTGTTCGTGTCATGTTCGCGTCAAGGTTAAAAAAACACGATGTCGTGTTGTGTCGTGTTCGTGTTCATAAATCGACACGAAATTGACACAATTAAGCATGTGGTTGTCGGGTTTTCGTGTTTGTCGTTTTTATCATGTTATATATCTTTAAGTATGAATGGAATACACTAATAGTTATGTAATATTATATTTGTCGTGTTGTGTCGTGTTTTTGTTTTTTAATTGATTCGTTTTCGTGTTAATGAAAAAAAACACGACATCGTGTCGTGTCGTGTTCATGTTATACAAAACCCTGTTGTGTTATGTCATGTCAGACAAAAATACGACACGATTGCCCGATTTGACAACCCTACTTAAAGGTACTAGTTATGTTTAAAAAATTGCAAATTTAGCCAAATACATTAATTACTTTGTGGAAAGTAGCCAAAAAAAAAATCAAAATTGCATTTTTAGCCACTAAAATCACAGATGGGTATAAGCCATTTGCAATTTCGCCTTCCCATATGCGAACGTACAAGTGGCTAAAGCACGTATGTGTTTTAGCTATTTGTACGTTCGCAAGTGGTTTTTTATTTTTTTATTTTCTTTTTCGTTGTATATATACTCCTTTTACAGCATAAAATTGCAGATGGACATAGTCCATCTGTGATTTCCTCTCGTTTTCACCTGTAATTTTATGTGTGTTTTTATTTATTTATTATTTTTTTTAAACTACGAAATTGATGGGGTTTGACTACGAAACAACCTTATTATATATAAATTTTTTAAAGAAATTATCATTTTTGTTGTTATTTCGTTGGAAAATTTGTTTAAAACCTCTTTATAAAAATGTATAATATTTGGTTTGCCTTCTAACTAGTGGGAGAGAGAGTTTCTCTAAAAAATATAGTGAAAAATGAAAAAAAAAATAAAAAACATTTTTATACTAAATCTCTACGAAATCACACATGGAATACACAAAATCGCAGATGGACTGTTGTAACACCCCGTTCTAAGAATAATGGTTCATGGATCACCGGGATCAAGAGTAAGGGCGTTTTGGTCCTTTAAGGGTAGTGGGTTGTATTCGAGAAGGTTTCGGACCGATGTATGTTAATAGAAGCATAAGGCTTCTCGCCACCTTCGCGTGGATATAAAGTTCATCGGAAACGAATCTAGTTTTTTGGGATATCCACTATAAAAGGAGCATAATGGTTCTCACCCCTAGCCTCCATAAACACTCTCTTATCCTCAGAAAACCCTTGATAGCCGTCCGACCTCCATTGTTGGGTGTGTTTGACCTTGGAGAACCCATTTTGGTGGATTAAAGCTTGGAAGCAAAGAGAAGAAGGTTGGCAAGGAGGAACCTTTGAAGCTAGAGTTTGTAGATCTGGGATAAGTGCTTCATTTCGGACCTCTGCAAGGTAAAAAGTCTTGAGCTTGATGATTAATCTCTTAGATTTCCTCTAGTACAAGTTTATGGACCTTTTGGTCCCAAGTTTGGGTCTTGGTGGGTTAAGCTTGTTTCTAAGACCAGGGTTGTCTCCCTTAGAGTCATATGAGTCCCATAAGCAGTAAAGTTCCAACCTTTGGGGTTTCATTAAGCCCATGCATGAGATCTAGTCCTCTTCTTGGATGTAGAAGATCATTTCGGAAGTTTGAGTTGATTTGAGCCATATTAAGTCACCAAGTCAATGACTTTATGGTTTAAGTCGTGAAATAAGACCTGAATCTGAGTTTGTAGCCCTTGGAATGGAGTAGTAAGCACTTAATGAGGAAATAACTTATCAGAGCACTACGCTGAGCGTACGTGCAAGTACGCCCAACATACTTGTCATGGAGCTGGTACGCTAAACGTACGTTGAGTTACGCCCCGCGTAACGCTGCCAGTTGGGCCTTGAGTATTTGGGCCTCGGTGTGGGCTGCGCCTTAGACTTTGGGTCTTTGGGCCTTAGTGGGCCATCAGAAATCATATTATATGGACCAAGGAATATATTGTGGGCTTAGGATGAGGCCCATTAAGGGATTAGGCCCAATGTAGCAAATTGGGCCATTAGTGGGTCACTAGTGGGCTTGAGAAGCTTACTTAGTGTTGGGCCCTTCATTTTCTGGTGTTGGGCCTTAGTCATGGACCAGTTCGGGTTAAGGGTAAAATGGTCAATTTACCCTTGGAAGGATATTGTGCTTGGTCTAATGATTGTTTTGCTGCTTCGAATAGTTCGAGATTTTCGGTGAGTTGGTGATTCGGGAATCTGCTTCTTCAGTTCTGAGTTTCGGCAGTTGCGAAGTGAGTTATCCTCACTATATCGACAGGGTCTAAGGCACCAAGGTCGGCCCTTTATCGGATTGTAATCCGGGTATCGATGTTATGTTATTGATTGCTATGTTTGCATCCTGGTAGTTAGGGTGGTATATGTTAGAGACCCGGTTAGGTCGGTATCCTGGTTAGGATGATGTTATGTTATGTGATCTGCTCGATCGGTTTGTTTGGGTGTGAATTGTTATATGATTGTATGTTTATGTGCACATAGTTGTTGGATTGGGGTTGGGTTGAGGCGGGTCCTGCTTTGTGCTGTAGGCCAACATACCCAAGGCGAACCGGTTATCCCGAAGGCCCAACGAGCGGTCCGGATAGGTTGTAGGGCCCACGAGGGCGAACCAGACGTACTGAGGCTTGGAGAGTGGACCAGGGCGACTGAAGGCCCGATGCGGCGGACCAGTCATACTGTAGACTCAGAGAGTGGACCAGGTGGGTTGAAGGCCCGGTGCGGGAGGACCAACCACACTGCAGACTCGATGGATATGGCTAGATTCGGAGGGTGGACCAGGTGGAGTGAAGGCCCGGTGCGGCGGACCAGTCACATAGTAGATCTGAAGTGCATGACTGTTCTATGTTATGTTATGATATGGCATGTTATGTGTATGGTATATGTGGTTGGTATTTTGGGAGTATCTCACTAAGCCTTCGGGCTTATAGTTGTGGTTTAAATGTTTCAGGTACTTCAGGAGACCGTGGAAAGGCAAAGGTGTGATCGTACCGCTCCTCATGATTTATGTGTTTATGATGTGGTTCTGGAAAATACTCTGATAATAAATATATTGAAAACCTTTTTGTAATAACTTTATGAAA